TTCCAGTAGATGCCTAACGCAGAATTTAAAGGAAAATCAGTTTCCGTTGCTGAAAGCAGTCTCCTAGCTTTTGCAGCTCCCCACCCCCGTGTCCTGCTGATCTTCCCTCCTCTACACATAAGGTAAACGGAAGGTTTTTGCTGAGTCCTGTGCTGACCTGGTTTCTCAGGGATCTGCCTTCCTTCAAGGCTGAGTTCCCCCTGGTACTAGAAGGCAGACTTATATTCCTGTAGGTGAATCCTGTTACCTTTGAGGAACTGCTCTCAAAAGACTCAGATAAGCTTGGCCACTGTGTTCCTGTAAATAAAATTGAGGACATCTTGAAACTCCTGATACATGGCTCTCGAGGCTAAACTGTGAAACTGTCAGTGAGTAAAATAAAGAAAAAAGTCTTTGTTCCTTTCCGTACTAACCCCTGCAGGAAAGGTATATAAGTTGAAAATATTCTTTGTTCAAGGCTTCAGCTGCTTTTATGCACAAGTCCACCTAAATGCAGTGCATTTTTAATAAATCCTCCTGACTCCCAGTGGCCTCTCCTGTCCCTTTTTTCCCGCATCACGACCACATTGTCAAACTCAGGATAAGCGATGATTCGTGACATGAGAATTAAAAGGAAGGATAGCCGAGCACGGTGATGCACACCTGTAATCCCAGTACTTGGGAGGCTGAGGCCGGAAGTTCCCTGTGAGTTGGAGTCCAGCCTGAGATACCTAGTGAGTTCAAGGCCAGCCTGAATTACGTAGTGAGATCCTGAGTCAAAGGACATGGAGAAGACCACTCTTCCCCCAAAAATAAGGAAGAAAAAAAGAAAGAGAAAAAAGATGTTCGATCTTGCTGGCCACGTGATGTGATGGTAGAGTGTTTGCCAAGCGTGCAGTGAACTCCTCTTAAATAGACGGCAATGCAGAAATAATGATCATATTTATGATTTAGGTGGCCCCTCTGTTGGCAGAGAGACCACTTAAGTGAGGCCTTCCCGTAGAGTTCAGAATGCTGAGAAAAATAGAGGGGATGTTAATGTGTTATCAAAGGTAGGAGAAGGTGTTCCTGCTAAGGACTTCCAGAAGGAGATGCGTGTTACACCCAGTGTGAGAATCGTTAAGCTGGGGCATCTACCCGGACGTGTCATTTGGTAGGAGTGGAAAAGGAGAGGAAGAGCATCTGAAGTAATTGCTATAGACCTTGGACTGTAGACACTGTTTTAAGAATTGAAACGCTGATTGAGGTAGACTGTGTATTAAAGGAATAGTGCAGCAGGAGCAAAGCCTGAAATGTGAAATCTTAGTGGTGAAAGAGATTTCTGTGCAGGGAAGAGAGAGGAAGTGGGAGAGGAGGGGATGGTGATAGTGGTAATATCCACACCTACAAGGGAGTTTTGGTACTGGGAATCGCGCTCGGGACCTTGTGCTTGTGAGGCAGGCGGCAGCACCACTGAGCTAAATCCCCAGCCCAAATATTTTTTTAAATTTTGAGAGCAAGTCTTACTTTGTTGGCCAGGGTACAGCAAACTTTAGATCTTGTTTCATCTTCTTGAAATGCTGAGATGACAGGCACTTGCCCTCGTGCCTAAGATGGGGGTTCCTTAATCACTGCTGTTATATATTTTATTCTAATTCTGGGAACCATTCTTACTGCCTCAGTCTTGAAGAAAGTATATGGCTTTCTGCTCTACCCTGTTCTGTTTTCTGTCCTTTTCTTTGCCTTAATCATCTAAACCTATGTCTCCCTAGAACTGCCACCTCCTGGGATTGGAGCTCTTTTTCCTTTAAAGAAAGAGATGACCATGAGCATTTGTTCTGTGTTCCAAGTGTAGCTGGAGTCTGCAGTCTCTGAAATTCCTTGAGTTCTCCTGAAGTCCACACACTCTTTGGACAACTCTCATGTTGGCATCCTGCAAAATCCGTGAGAATGGACTCCTCAGAAGGACACAGCTGAGAAAAAGCACAGAGGTTCTGTTCGCTCGCCTCATAGTCTGGCCTTTATACCCCCAGTTTGTGTCATCATAGCACAGCAAGCTTTGGAGATCTTTGTGGGTTTTTGTTCTTGTAAAATCTGATGGACAGTAGGGGAGGAAGAGAAGAATAGAAAAACACCTTTCATGGTTGTGCCTTCACTTGGGAGACTGAATCAAAAACATTGCAATGAGTTTGAAGCCAGCCTGGGCTACATAGTGAGACCCTGTCTTGGAGGGGAAAAAAGTGCTCAAGTGCAGAGTGAGAATTTTGTAACTCAGCTTGGGTTTGCAATGCAGTTGTAAAACTGTCCCTATATGAGGTTTTTTGCCCTCTCGGGTGTCCTGTCATCCAGGAGCTTACGTGTCTGTTGACCCTGCTAAGTCAGGTACTGGTGATTTCATACTTGAGAAAACATGTGGATGCAACATAACACCTCCCTGGGCTGGGGATTTAGCTCAGTGGTGCCATCACCTGCCTCACAAGCACAAGGTCCCGAGTTCGATCCCCGGTACAAAAAACAACAACAAAAACATAACACCTCCTTTGCATTTTCCATAGTTGTGGGAGAGAGGCTTTTCAAGTTCTGTCAGTGATACAAATGCACCAGAAACGTTCTCTTTCTTGCTGCCCTAGAAGCAGAATAAAGTAAATGCCACTGATGCTCAGGAGCATGCTTTCTTATTGAGGATTTTACATAGCTCGTTGTCTCCCTTTTTGTGGAGAGGAAACTCCAGGTTTCCTGGTATCACCTGCATGTTTTGTTTTTCACCTGGGATGAGAAGTGCGGAAGCTGTGTAAAGTCCTGTTGACGGACATATAGACTGTTTCCCAGGATTTATGTGGTCTCAGGAAGCTACTCATCTTTGAGGGGAATAAAAACTATCTCTTAATGTCCTATTTTTCAGCCTGGCATTTTACAGATCTGTAAATCGCATCTGTAATACCAGGAGTGTGGAGGCTGAGGCAGGAAGATCCGTTTGAGGTGGAGGCCAGCCCGAGCTACAGCAAGAAGTTCCATTTTTTAGTGCTAGTTGTGATACTATTTCATCTATGTGCAGTCTAAAATTACCCCATTGTATCTTCTTATTTAGTGTATCTTTGTAATTTGTGCAGCATACAATCACGTTGGTGAGTGGGTATGTACCACAGCTTGTTTTTTTTCTTTAATCCCCTCCTGCTGTGCTCCCCTTCCTCCCTTCTCCAGTTCTCCTAGGCCAGTTTTCATTCTCTCTGATACTATTAATGCTACCTCTTGTTGTAGCGTATATGTTTACATTAATTGAGTTAGTAGATGCTATATCTTTATTCTTTTTATTTCCCTTTCCTTCCTCCTCACCTTTCAAACTTTTCCCCTTGGACCACTTCCCTGTTGCAAGAGATCATGTCCTACTCCTGTTTGTACTTTGCCTTATTCAAATGAGAAACATCTCATGGTGCTTAAGCTCCTGTGTCTGGTTTATCTCACTCAACATTATATTTTCTGGGTGCATCTATTTTCCTACACATGTCTTAAATCTCTCGTTCTTTATAATAGAATAGTATGTCATTATATATAGATATCACATTCTCTTTATCCAGTAATTTGTTGATGGGTATATAGGCTGTTTCCCAGGATTTAGCTATTACTGTTTGTGCTGCTATAAACATTGGTGTGCATTGTATCACCGTAATATGATGTCTTAAGCTGTTTGGGCAAGATACCTAGAAGGGAGCGAGCTGGGTCATATGGAATTTCTAATTTCAGTTTGAAAAATCTCCATACTGATTTCTGAAATGCTTGTAGTAGTTTACATTTGCACCAGAAATGAAGGAGGGTTCGTTTTCCACCATAGCCTCACCAGCATTTCTAATGTTTGATTTCTTCTGGAGTAAGTTGTAATCTTAGCGTTGTTTTATTTTGTATTTTTCTAATGGCCAGAGATATGGAGCATTTTTTCCATGTATCTGTTGACTATTTGTATTTCCTCCCCTGTGAAATATGTGTTCTTTTCTCTTGCCCATTTCTTGAGTGGATCATTAATTTTAGGTGGTTTAATTTTTTTCTGTTCTCTGTATATTCTTTTTTTTTTTTTCTTTTGGTACTGGGGATCAGACTCAGGACCTTAAGCTCCCGAGGCAGGTGGTGGCACCACTGAGCTAAATCCCCAGCCCTGTATATTCTTAATATTAGTCCTCTATGTGAGGAGTAACTAGCCAAGTTTTTTTTTTTTTTTTTTTTTTTTTCTTTTT